CGTCGCTGGTGGAGCATTCTGGCCGTCGCGGTCCAGCGTGCTGTCTGCAGTGCCTTGCCGGGCACTTGGAGCATGCCGGCGATCCCGGCAAACGCCGACTCCATCCCTTTGGCAGGCGTTTTGGACCTGGCTGATGCCGCGCTGCCAAGTCGGCTGCCACTGCGCTAGATAGCGCTGGGGCCGCCCGCTCAAGCGCGCATTGCCGGTAAGAGGAGTGGGGACCAGGACGGGATTCATGACGAGGAAAAACGTGCGGGGAAAAAAAAAATTGTGGCCGCATGGACGCTGAGGCAGTCGAGTTCATCGACGCCTGGCGGACTCAAGGGCACGCGACATGCCCGCCACCTGAAAAGAGCTTCGCTGCAAGCCGGTGTCCACTGATGGACAGCGATGCTGTCAGTGGCGCCCCAGCGTTGCTGGGGCTGCCTCTGGTCGCGGCGGGTGCATGCGACGCCGCGCAACCGCCCGTGGCGGCGCTGGCAGCCGTGGAGCCTGTGGCGCCCAGCCGCCTACTTGCGCAGGGGCGGGCACGCTGACGGCTGGCCAGCGTTAGGTGTCAGCTGACCCAACAGGATCATGTAGCTGCAAAAAGGTGTGAGAAAAATGAGGTTTTCGCCCGGCTTCGGGTTCGCCGGGCACCGCCAGCAGCACGACGTGCCGCAGCATCCGGTTGGGTTCAACGCTGGTGGAACATCCTGCCGGTCGCAGTGCCATGGGCCCTGGGGGCCACGGCCCTCGGTCCTCGGTTCCCATCGCATCCGCCAACACGCCCCCACCACCAAATAGGCTGCTCGAGCGCGATGCGGGCCCGAGCTCAGCTAAACCGTTTGCCGCTGCGAATGTCGCGGCAAATGCGGGTGTCGGCGGGCGGCCGCCGGAAAGATGGAACCCAGCGGCACGGCGCTGGCGAGAGCGTGGCTCACACCCAGCGCCGCGAACCAAGCAGCCTGCCGCTGCGCCAGCAGCAGCACTGGCCACAGATGCCACGGAAGTCTGCGAGTAAAAGGGTTGAGGAGGAAATCCTTACGTGAATATCACCGGTTTGCAAATGCGACCCTCACGTTCATGAACAGCAAAACACGGCACTGTGAACAAGCCAGGCCTCGCTAGGCACTGAGGTTTATAAGTTTTGCCGTTCCCGTGATGTTTGTTTGAGGGCAGTTTGCCCCACCGTTTTGTTATGTTGACTACGCTTTCAATTGTCCTACCACCCATCTGATTGATATTACACCGCAGCTTATACATTCGTGCACTCTGTGTTGAATGTTGCCCATCTATTGACAGCACCCTAACAAAGCATCAAGCGACGACAATGGCAGACAATTGGACCAGGCGCCGACTCGTTATGGACGGAAGGTTGGAGCCATGCTTGAACCCAACACCAGGCGCGAAAGCATTGTGCACAATGTTGGACACGGGTGAAATTCACAGATTTGAAAAACGGAAAAACTTTGGTGTCGCCCGCCCGATGCGATGGCAGCCCCCCAGCAAAAGCGCCTGAACGAGATTGGTTTTTTTTTTGGGGTCGCACTAGCAACCCGCAGCGCTTCGTGGTTCTGGGTGCTGAGGTGGGCAGGCACTGGAACGACGGGGTGCATCGATTCCTGTGCGACCTCGTCCGTCCGCACCTGACGCGCTCCGCCTGCTCTCCGCCGCGCCGCGACATCAGCTTGGGCGTGACGGTGCAGGGGTTTGTTGGTGATGGCTGTGCAGCAGGCAGTTGCCGGCACAGTGCTGGGGCAACAGGGACCCCTTCTGGCAACTGGCACCGCAGGACAACCGTCACCTAGCAACGGCAGTTGGCCCAGCTGCCTGCAGCTGCGCCCACGGAGCAGCCGACCGGGACTCAAATCAGCAGATGCAGAAGGTCCGAGAGAAAAATCTTGATAGGATCCACGAACCCGAATGCAGACACTTGACACGTACATCGCAACAATAATGACACCCAACGCGTCACACCAATCAGGAACACCAATCAGGAAATTTAAGTCCGCGCTCATCCATTTTCTTCTCTCATGGCTTCTCTCTCTTTTGTCTCCTCTACTCTCTCTTCTCTCCTCTCCTCTCCTCTCCTCTCCTCTCCTCTCTGCTCTCTCTCCTCTCTGCTCTCTCTCCTCTACCCTCACTCCTCTCCCTTCTCTCTTCCCTCTTCTTTCCTCTCTCCACTCCGCTCTCTTTCCTGTCTCCCAACCAAGAAAAGGAGCCATGTCCAAAAGTGACGACAGTTCTGCGTTTCGCGACCAGGACCCGCCCCGATCCCTGTGTCTGCTGACGCTTATGAGACGCGAAGACCAAGTGCGAGTCCAAAAGTGTCGACGGTTCTGCATTTCGCGATCAGGAACCCCGCGATCCCAGTGATTGTTGACATTTTTGAGAGGCGACGACCCAACGCAAATACAAAAGTGACAGTTAACAGGTTCTGCGTTTTGCAACCAAGACCCCCCAATCCTTGTGACAGGTCACGACCCAACGCAAATCCAAAAGTGACAACAGTTCTGCGCTTTGCAACCAGAACCCCCGCGATCCCTGTGATTGTTGGCACTTTTTGAGACGCGAGACCAAATCCAAATCCAAAAGTGACGACAGTTCTGCATTTCGCGACCAGGACGCGCCCCCCGATCCCAGTGACTGGTGACAGTTTTTGCGTTTCGCGACCAGGACCCCAGCGATCCCAGTGACTGTTGACACTTATGAGGGGCGACGACCAAGCGCAAATCCAAAAGTGCCGACAGTTCTGCGTTTCTCGACCAAGACCCCACCAATCCCCAATCTCTATGACTGTTGACGCTTCTGGGATGCGACGACCAAACGCACGTCCAAAAGTGACGACTTGACTTTGTTTCGCGACCAGGACCCCCGCGATCCCAATGACTGTTGACATTGTTGGGATGCGACGACCAAACACAAGTCCAAAAGGAACGACCGTTCCGCTTTTGGGATGCGACGACCAAACGCACGTCCAAAAGTGAAAACTCGACTTTGTTTCGCGACCAGGACCCCCGCGATCCCAGTGACTGTTGACACTGTTGGGATGCGACGACCACACACACGTCCAAAAGTGACGATCGTTGTGCGTTTCTCGACCAAGACCCCCCCAATCCCCAATCTCTATGACTGTTGACGCTTTTGGGATGCGACGACCAAACGCACGTCCAAAAGTGACGACTCGACTTTGTTTCGCAACCAGGACCGCCCCGATCCCAGTGGCTATTGACAGCTCTGTTTTTCGCGACCAGGATCCACCCGATCCCAGTGACTGTTAACACTTTTGACAGGCGACGACCGCATGCAAGTCCAAAAGCGACAGCTCTACGTTTCGCGACCAGGACAGCCGCAATCCCAGTGACTGTTGACACTTACGAGAGGCGACGACCAGACGCGACGATTTTCGACTCCCAAGAATGCGTGAGACGCACGGACGCTTTGCAAACGCGTGCGAACGCTTGCGAACACAAACGCAACGACGTTTGGTCACCTCCTGGACCCCTGGACCCCAACCTTAAAACGGAAACCCTTCTGCGGAGCATTCGGGAATTATGGTGGGTGTTGGGAAGACATGTTTTCTGGGATGGACGTCATTGTGGTTCCGGCATGGATGCCCTTGTCATCTTGAGTCATCAGATTCACGCGAAGATGGACTTTCGCATGATTTGTTTATGCAACACGAGCGGCTAAGCAACCCACCTGCTGAGTTTGCTGCAACATGTGACAAACATGCCACGAGAGCGCGACAATTGACAGTTGTTGTCGTAAGACGCCGAATATTTCGGCACTCGTGCTGCACGTGAATTTTGCAAGGTGCTTGCACAGGGATGCGCTGTCCAGAAAAATTCTTAGGGCCCTTCAGATCATTCGGACACTTATGGAATTGCCAAACAGAGTGCACGTGGCAATCGTTGTGACCGCTGTTTTCTTTAGGGGCGAAGGAAATCGAATGCGACGCTGACTCATGTTCGTGCAGATTGGGTGACAAGCACCCCCATGTCATTTGATGTGCATTTGCCACACTGCAGCTGCTTGGGCATTGGGCCTTTTTCCGGTAGAGCTGGACAAGCCAGCCATGGCTATGAACAGCAGTCGCCCCAGATGGCCTCGACTGCCTGTGTCCGACACCCAGGTTGTAACAGTTTTTTGCCATTTAGTTCTCAGCATGTTTTACGCGAACATCCGTGTGGAGGTCGGCATGCTCCAGGAAACTGTTGCGCTGTTGCGCAACGGCATTTGCTTGTACGGTGCGACGCTTATGCAATTGCAACAACATGCCAACAGACCAAGTTTATGCAGTGTCAAGTGTCCAGGCCCTTGTGTCGTTGGCAGACAGGCACGCTTTGCATTCTGTACCTCATGTTTACGCACTGGCTGCTCAGTGCTGCCATTGAGGTCCTTCGCTTATTTTGGTGGTGGCCATCAAACTGGGGCATCGGTGCAAAGCCGCCAGCTCCAGGTGCTAAGCCCATCTTATGGCGTGCCTGAGGCAGGACCCGACATGGCACATGATGCCGGGTAGTTCACGACAGCGTGGTGTCCACAGCACGGGAACACGGAAGCCATCACGCTCATGACGGCATCAAAGCCGTTGATCCGCTTCTATGTTTTTCGAAAATTGTCACTTGATGACTTGGGAAACCAGCGAAAAGAGACAAATCACGATGGGCTAGGCCGTCTCCACATCTGGAGTTCCGTTCGTGACATGTGGAGTTGCTGCTCTGAGCGGCGCCGCGCTGGTCAAGCACTTAGATGCAAAAGGTGCTAGATGAATAACGTGCGGTGATTGACCTCCAGCATTCATTCATTAAATGTTAAATTGAGCCTAGGTTTTCATCCTCCTTGTCAAATGTATTCCGGGATGGGCAGTGAGACGAATGCGGGTGGTTCCTGAGGTGACCGGACACCTTCACAAGCAGCAAACGCCGGGAACTTGACGCATGCAGTCCAAGCGCGCAAATCTGCAGGGACACACAGCACGGGCAATTCTGGTCATTCGCAGGTCTTCCACAACAATGTCAGCCGAAGCAGAAGCTGAAGCAGCCAGCCCACCCCCGAAACCAAAGAAGGCAAGTGAACCAAGGTCTAGCATAGCATGGCATGAAGTTGATGCAGATACAGCGCACTGCATTTGAAGTGTGGCCACCTCTAATAGGTGCGCATCACAGCTTTCGATGCCATTCGCTTCTTCTTGATTGCATACATTGTGTGCCTTGGAAGAATTTGTTGTCGACAACATCACGGATGCTGACTGCGCCCTAGGTGTGGCCACTTCATCACCTTCGCAGGGCCAAGCCCGTTTGCATTCAAAGCCTGCTCCCTACAGGTAAAAGCTGGGCCGATTCCAATGGTTTCTTCCATGCGCAGGCAATTTCGCAGATCAACGTTGTTGCCACGTACCCAGCGTGGCCGAGCTTGCCCGCGTCAGTGCCAGTTTTAGTGTTTTTTTCCTTATACTGTCACGGAGTTTCTCCACGTTGAATGAAGCATCAAGGTTGGCGCCTTCTTTGCTTTGAGTGGATATGTAGCAGTGCTACACTCAGTGGACAATCTGCCAAGCACTGCTGAGTGCTGAGCAAGTATTATGCCGATAAAGGCATACACCACCACCGAGAACGCCGAACGCGCTGCAAGCCCCAAGCTGTTGGGCACGTGAGGGGCTGAGACTTGCAGTACATCACACTCAGTGCTGCCTTCGATTTAGATGACGCACACCTGTTGTCCGGCGTCGGCTCGACGTCAGCTTTGCTTGATTTATGCTTCGTTTAACCAGCCCACCATCCAACAACTCACGAGCTTTATCGTATTTTATCGTCATTGCCTCCTCAATCTCATACCAACCAAGGTGGACTTCATGGCCCACAGTATAGATTGCATTGCAAGAGTGCCAAGCAGCTTCGGGCACATGTCGCCGCCCAGATCCTAACGACAGGCGTTCTGGCCGGTGGCTTCTTGCAGCCGCGACCGGTTGCTTGCCAACATGAATTGTCAAAAAAGAGTGAGTGAGATTATTCTTTCAAGTACTTTCAATCATAGCTATTACCCGTGGCGGGGCGCAGCGATCAATCCAAGTCGTGAGCCAAACAGACAAGAGGATATGCAGAAGAAGAAGAAGAAGGAGAGAGCGACATTTCGGAATAAGATCGATGTGGCCTCTCAAGTTCTTGCTTTGCATTGGGGGCTGTTCCTATCTTGGACGACTCGCCTTATGCCTGCTTGGCATTTGGCGACTCTGGATGCGTACTGTGCAAACCCTCTTGTAGGGCCAGGTTAGTCTTTTAGGGCTGATCAAGTATTCCTGTAGTAGAGGTGCAAAGTGCGTCACCCTTGCAGCAACCACACGTTCTGCAGGTTACCTGAGGACAAATGGGATGCTCGCAAGCCTCACCATGTCAGTGCGACGACAACGACCGGGATGAGAATGGTAAGGAGCGTGTTACCTGTCGCGTTCGCATAGAATTTAGAAGTATGCACGTTGATGGGTTGGTGTTGTTTGTCCGGCAGGACTCCTTTGCCCAAGCATTCGCAAAGCGAAGCAAGACGATGGCGTCCTTCCGGGTGGCATCATTCGAGGATTTATCCTTGCTATCAGAAGGAGTCAATGACGAAGCCATGGAATTTGTGCGCCATTTCTACCAAGAGGCGGTTGTAAACAGCACGCACACAGGGCATCTTGTCCAACCAGCTTGCTGGAAGCGTTTTCTCACCCCAAAGTGATGTATGTCTGTCTACACTGACCCTAGGCACAGTTCCGCTCATGGCATCTATGAGTACGTCACGGCCTGAGCACATGCATAGTCTACAAGTCTGCATGCACTTCTTGTGATCTGACTCGCAAGCATGTGGCACAACAAGGACATGAAGCTGGAACACTTGCACGAGATTGTGGGAAGATTGGACTGCAATGACCTGAAGGAAGGTGAGCTGAAGCGGCTGTACGCCGCCCTGCAGCAAGGGCAGAGCATGAGGATGTAAATACAGCTGCTAATTACCAGTTAACCGTAGCAGGTGTAGCAACAAATGCCGGCAGTCCCTTCTGAAGGCGAAGCCGAGTTAACCTGTCTGAAGGAAAATCTTTCGACACTCTTGCGTCCCTAGACTTGGACATGATCCTCACAAGCATCCTGTTGTAAGGACTCCATACCGAAAAGCCCATCTGGTTCGGTTACGATGAAAGAGTTTGCGGCCGCAGTTGCGCATGGACCTGCTAGTCATACGTTGCAGTCCCTGGTGAAGAAACTTCGATGCTTGGCTTTCTTCTGAGTCTGGCCTCCTGCATGAAGAAACTCCCGATTCCTCAAGCAACTGAACAGCTTGTTGAGAAGTAGCCTGTATGACTGTGCGCCAGAACTGAGCTGCACTTGTGCGAACATCTGGGTTCCACGGAGGCAGTGGCTTCCATCATTTCAAGGCTCCGCATGCGCAAGAATTTGGGCCTTCAGGCCCTGAGCTTGGGGCCCAGATACACACCGCCCAAGAAGAATTTTGCAGCTCGCACACTACCTACCTCCTTGAAGGCTGGGCCAAGCAATTGAGCAATGGAACAGTTTTGGACAAGCCCCGCTTTAAAGCTTCACATTCATGCGACCTTCCCAAACGATGTAGTGTCTGGCAGATTTCTTGGAAGCTTGGGACTGAGGCTAGAAACAAGGGCCAGGAATTACAACTCAGCTTGTGGCAAAAGTTGAAGTCAAAATACAGTAGCTTGAAGCCAAGGACTGGGCTGCGACTCTGGCTTCGTACCGCCTGATGACTACAATTTCATGACATCGACCAATGAGAATTATCGACAGGATCACCTGAAATTCCACGGTCCTTTCGCCAAGTTCCGGGAGCTCTGCGATTACTCCTATCATGTCAACTACTCCAGGCGTCGCCAGGGATGGCAAGATGAAGCCATCAAGAGCGTGATTGCACGTGCAGTGGCGCAGCCTGCTCCCTGGTTGGTGTATACTTGTGGACCAATGGGTGTCGGAAAGGCTGGGAAGGGAAGACTCAGAAGACAGTGGACAGGGAGAGCTAGGATAGGATCGGGATCAGCATTTTACATCGGATACCGCGGGGGAGTTGTGTGTGCAAGAGGCAGTGAACTAGAAACTTTAAATCAGGCAGCAACCATGCACTTGAGAATCTTACTTTTGCATGAGGGGATATCCACCGCACTGGTACCACGCTTAGACAAGTTGCTCGGACCTATAAAGATGTAGTAACCCAGAATCACGCCTCAGGGCTACACCTTGTCCTGGATGTCTCAAAATGGGTTCTTCCCTTTGGAGAACATCGTCCACATAGACCCAGATGCTTTCAAGATGATGATGCCAGAATGGCCAGACTACGTTGCGCGAGACCAGGATAGAGCAGGCACTCACTGTCACATGGAGTCTTCGTTTATGGTTGAGATTGCACAAGCAGCTGCAATGGAGAAGCAGCAAAACATTTGGGTGGACGGTTCCCTGAGAGATGCCGACTTTTATCAGAAGGCTTTTCAACGGATCCGCGAGACGCATCCGAACTATCGAATTTCTATCTTCTACATTACTGCCTCGGAGCAGACCATCCGTCAGCGTATACATCACCGTGCCGAACAAACTGGAAGAGATGTGCCAGAGCATCTGATTAAGGCGTCCCTGCAGGCAATGGACAAGTCGCTGAACACCTTGACTCCGCTTTGTGACTTTGTGGCCCGAATCAACAACGAAGGCAATGAGCCGAGGCTTGTGGCTTTCGAAACCGTGGACACCAAGGGCAACTGGGGAGTCATTAGCGATCGCTTTGCCCGAACGTACCATGACCCTGGGGAGTTCCCGCAGTCGTGTCCAACTTTGCGATTACATCCCTTGCATAGCAATCTGATAGCAATCATCCAGAACCTCCATGAGGTAGATTTGCATAACGAGCTTTCACTGTGGTTGGACCTGGCCGTGACCTCAAAATGCGAGGTTGGCAAGTTGTCAGAGATTTTTGGTTCGAATCTTGTTTTGCGCACCTCACCGCGCTGCCAAATGCATGAGCCATATGACGGCATTCTACCAATCCCATCAGATGCCACGAGCGTTTTTTGGATATATCCATGTCAGACTTCAAACGTGAGCTACTCTCGGCGCTTGCAGAGTTGCGATGACCTCCAAGATGAAAATTTGCTGCTACTGGGCCAGCTGCTGCTTTACGGTGGTTTCGCCTACTGCAGAGGAGACGATATCTGCTTGCTGCATGTTGTAACCAGTGCCTCGAGCGACGTCCTAGTGCAGTTTGGTAAACCCTTTGCAATTAAAGCCGGGGCCCTTCCGAAGGAAAGGCTTCAGCAAGTCACAAGCCCGTATTTTCAACAGCAGGGCGCCAAGCAATACTGCTGGCTGAACCCGGGTGAGAACAAGAGCATAGCAGGCGCCGCCTCTTTGAGTCACGGCGCTTTTGCGTATGTGATAGATGAAAGCAGTGCATTAGTGTTTCCTGTTGTCTAGTGGGGAGGGTTACTGGCATATGTCTGAATTCTCCCCTCCTTGTGCTACGGAAGGTAGCAACATGTATAGTATCTGCCAACTTGGTCAGGGCTTTGTTAGCGTTCAGTTTGGCGCGCTGGTACATGCCGCCGAGCACGCAAGACTTACGAATGCCTCAGAGAATCTGAGCATTGCATGCGTCCTTTGAAACCATCGTGGCGCAAACCCAACTGCAATCGAAACATGCACAAAAGGCTCCGGGTCGAGAATTCTAGGCTCACATCAATTTCAGACGTCACAGACATGCTGCCTTGTCCAGGCCAGCTCCGAAGTGGATCCTCCAGCGCGCAGGGGAGCCTGAGCCATGACATGTCAGGTCTTGTGGTCCTGCGTTCTGTTGAATGGCAAGGCGCACTCTGCGACCCTGAGGTTTTTGGGTATTTTCCACTGCACCTCTTGGTTTTGTTGCTTTTTTCGTCAGCATCTCAGCAGACAGCGTGAAAAACAAGTTTGGTCCATGCACCTACTCTTGCGTCATCCTCGATAAAAACGCAGTGCGTGCTCAGAATTTCTCATGCATTCCAACATGTCCAGACCGGTCTTCCTGTACGCGGATGTGAACTTCAACGGCTGGCCCACAGCCTTATGGCCACCCCCAGCATGTTTTGCCTGAGCACCAAAACGAGACTCCGCACCTTGACCAAGACAGCCTAGCGCTCATATGGTTTCTCAGGTCCAGCTGAGTGTGCTGAAACATTACGAGTATGCCGCTGTGAATTTAGCAATATGGTTCAGAGAAATCGTGGCAACCAGCCAGGCATGGTTTTCTGTCGGCAGGGATGCTGCAAGCGTGGTTCCCAATGCACGCAGAGGTCGGATCGCAGGACAAGTAGAAGCTGCCTGCTGATTCAGATTTGTGCGTTGCAGGTGTGGAACGCTCCAACGTGGTTCTTGTCTGCACTGACCTTTGCCACTGTGGGGCTCTTGGCCAAGATGTGATGGAACCTGTGCTCAACTCATGCCTTGTCCCATAAGGCATGGTAGGGAGCCAGGACTTGATTTCGAAGACTTTTGCACTGCCAGGCAATGTTGCCCTTTGCATTGCCAATCCTGGCAAAACAGAGTAAAGCTGAGCTTCGGCGCCAGCTCCTGAAGCTTTTTGGCTCGTCTGAAACTTGCATAGAGGAGACGCTTCTTATTCGCAACAGGCACGGGCCTCTTCATCTTCCTCGTGGGACTGCTGCCTAAGTCTGTTGCCCAGAGGTCGACAACATCCTTTGAGGGCATCATTGCCTCGAATTTCATCTGGATGTTTCTGCAGAGTGGTTTAGGGAACCCTGCAGGGGATCTTTACATGAGAAATCTCCAAATGTGCGTTTATCCTTTCGAGGCTTTGTATCTCTCAAGCCACCATTTCACATGTTCTCCAGAAGAGCCATAATCTGAATGCCTTAACAGGGACTATATACGGGATTATATAGGGGACTACTCTGGAGGTTATTAAGCGGGATACTAGGAGTTAGGCTATGGCTCAGAATGTGTCAGAGCACCCGGCTCGCACCTGCCAAGGCTGGGTTATTGCTACGACCATCAGGCTGATCCCTCCGGCCTATGCATACCATTTAAGCCCAGAGTCTAAACAACTTAAAAGGGGGCTTCCATAAGGGATTATATATAGGAGAGTATTATAGAGATGATTAAGGGCGAGACTGGAGTTTAGTGGCTCATTTGAGCAGCCTGCTTTTACAGATGCCCGAAGTCCTCAATACAGAGTGAGACTAATCGCTCAGCATATTTGAGTAGCATTATGGAGGGGGATGTAGCCACAAGGGTGTTCCTCAAAGTACTAATATGTATATATACACATATATCCCTGATGCTGACCTGCAGAATCCCTTTGCAATCTCCAAAGGGCTGTAGGACCTCTATGAGCCCGAATTTTGACAAACCTCCGAGCTTTCAGGCGTGGGGAATGCTGGAAGGAGCCATGGCTCCAAAAGTGCGATGCCTGGAGATAGTGCTGCGGCACCAACCCTGCGAGAGAGGTCTGGAGATGCTTCACTCGTGCATTTGCTTTTCAATCTTCTTCTTCATCCTCAGTCTGGAGTGGGCAATGGATGCATATAAGGCAGTACCAGGAAGATGCCCATGGCAACCCCGAAAGCAGTCCCTAAAACCTAGGGCCCAACTCCCAACAAGGCATGAGTAAGCCTGAGTAAGCTTTTCAAGGCTCTACCAAACCTGGCCATGTTCAACATGTCACTGGCTTAATTCTTCGCGGTGCAATTTCCCAGACTTTGCATCCATTTGCAGCCATGATGCACAGGGCTGAAAAGGGAGCAGAACGTCTATCACCGCTTTAGTCCAGGCAGCGCTTCAATCCTTTCTTTGCTTTGGTCGAGGCAGGGAACCATGCCTGACCTTCAAGTTACATTTACTGCCCCACAAAGAGTGCTGAAGGTCCTGCTTGGGGCCGTAGCTTGCCGCCTTGTGCGGTCCTGAAATTCAACAGCTGCCGCTTCTTTTGAAGTGAAACGTTTCATTGCTGGGCAAGGCCTTTGGTGTGGGCAGTAAATAGCAGTTCTTGAGGTCATGCTGGACGGCGCAGACGGTGAGGAGAAGGCCCAGCAGGGCAGCGGGGCCCAGAACAGCGCAGAAAGCTGGCTTGGCTCATAGACAGGCACCCAAGACAAACATCTTCAGCACAGGGCTGCCTCTTCTCGGAATGGTGTTAAGCCCAGGTGACAGCGCACAGGATTTGAGGATTCTCGTGGCACCTCGTTGCACCTGCAAGTTTGTGCAAAGTTGGCTGGTTTCCCGCCTGCAGCATATGCTCAGATCAAGCCCGGGCTTTGTGTCAGTATCCATGCATGAGACCTACAATAGATGGGCTCCTCAACTCGTTCCCAAGCTGGAAGACGGGGCCTGGCAGTCCGCTCCTAAGGCTCCACAGCTAGGCAGGTCTTGGAACGACGCTTCCAGGTCGCTGGAGGCTGTCGCACTAGCCGCTGCTGCGGATACCACAGCACGTATCCGAGCAGCTAGCACGTGCTCCACACGCACACCAAGTGGCACCGGGCGACGATCAGTTTCAGCCATTGACGACAGCTCACCGGATAAGACAGTCCACTACGGAGCTCCCTGGGTCGCTGCAGTGCCATTGACACCGCTCTGGCACGCAGTGCCGCTCCTACCCCAGGGACCCAGAGCCGACCAAGTCTCGCCTTTGCGTGACAGGGAGCTACAGCAAGCCCGCGATCTACGGGCTGAGCGTGAGGAGGCGGATACTCTGCGCCGGCACAAGGAGGAGTTGCAGTTTGAGCTGGCAGACTTGAGAAAGAGGCTCAGTCAGGCGGCTGGTTTGCTTCAGCATGCACGGAAGCAGACAGGTGTTAACATCAATCTCATATTCCAGATCTGTGGTACGTAGGACGAGACAACAACTTAAACAGCTGTACTCCCCAACTTCTGTGTGCGAGCCCTCATGATAGTTCTTTGGCTGGCAATTGTCAGATGCAAGACGTGTGTGACGAGCTGCGGCAAGACAACGCTCACTTGAAGAAGGCATTGGCTGAAAGAGAACGAGGCACAGCAAGTCAAGAAGCTGTTGCGAGACAACACGGTTTTGGCTTTGCTGCAGAGAGTCACTCCAACAGCTCTAGCAAACTGCCCCTGCTTGAAGACTCAGACGAACTGCTTGATTGAACCCACGTGCCGCAGGCGAGATGTCTCTCAGCCACGTGCTCCAAGAAGAGCAGCAAAAGAGCCACGTCTTGGCACAGGAAAGCCAGCAGGTCCGACATCAGATGGAACAGCTCAAGGTCAAATTCAGCTGCTGGGCACATGCTTCAGGCTGTCTTATGAAATGCCAGGTCATTAACAGAGCGCGTGCCTGAGGAAAGGTGTCATATTGTCTTTACGACTTTTACGTGTGTTGCTCAATTCCGTTGAGTCTTTATCTTCTTTTCAGGGCTGCTTGCTGATGCAAATCTTGCTGCCTAAAATCCAGAGACCAATACTGCGGGTCAGCAGAGGTGAAAGCTTTGGTATATGTATGTAACTATGTTCCTTTTGAACCAAAGACTGGAAGTGCCAGCGCTTGCAAACATGCAGCGAGACCTTTCTGGCGTAGCTCTCGCACAGTAGCCAAGACAAAGGTCGATGCTAGACCACATTCCTCGCAGAGCAAACAGCAACAAGTTTGAAGTCTGTGTGAAGGTCTCACACATGAAGTCCACCCCTTCCGCGTGAAACAGATTCGCCAAGAAATGCAGAAGTTTTTTGTCCTAGCAGAGACACTGCACATTTGATGCGCGGAATATTTTCAATATTCCCCAGAAGCTCGTCAATGGCCACGCGGGTTGAGGCTCTGATGTCCAGCGTTTAGAAGACGCATGCAAGCAGCTGGAAAAGGATAAGGCGCAGCTGAAGAAGGCATTGCGTCAGCGAGAGCAAGGCGGGCTCTTGTGAACTGGGGCCTAATAGTACTTTGCCTAGATAGGGGGGACCCAATATAGACAGCAAAATAAGACAGTCTTTATTATGGGAACCCTTAAAAAGGTACCCCTAAGTTTTTTGGAAACCCCCATAGAAGTACAGTAGCAACATCAAGAAGAATCTGAAAAGTGCACCGGTAGCCGCTGCAGGAGTTGTCAAGCTCCCACATAGGCCACGACACGATAGCTGTTTGCTGCCTGTAAACAAGCCAGGTGAAAGTTCGCTTCGCACTCAAATCCAAGAGGAGCAGCAGACTCGTCACGACATGGTCAGGGAAAGAGAAAGTCTGAAGCACGAGCTCCGACACTTAGATTGCATTTCTGGTGGACAGTAAAACTCAAAGTCTAGATAGTCCTGCTGACCGCCAAACCATATTGCTTCAGGCAAAATGCAACAGCTGCAAGAGAAAGCTGGAGACTCTGTGACGCCTCTCAGCTCCATGCAGCAGCTTGGACGCAAGGAGACCACCTTCAGAGTTCTTACTGCACTTGAGTATGACACCCTTGATCAGCCCTGTGACGCGGTGACAAAGCTCTTGCCAAGGGACTGCGGGGACAAGCGTAGCCCGCAGCAGTTTGGAAGATGTTTGCGAACGTCGAGGAAACTCCGCCCTAAGAGTTGGAATCAAGTATCAAGGCAAAGCTTCAAATGCAAGATTGCTGGCCACGAACCCTAACAAGCGCATTCAGTTTTCCCTGTTGCCTATCGGGCCGTATCAGATCTAAAGACCCTTGGGAATTCAAAACGGTGGGCGGGCCACGTAAGCTCTCCTTAGGTGAAAGCATGCTAAGCGGAGATTCGATCATGACAAACTTGTTTGAGTTGTTCTACGTATGCCTGTGCTACATGTGAAGACCTTGCATGATGGATTGTATCCTGGTTGTGACGTCTCGTTTGGAAACGATGCGCCCAAGACCATGAATCTGTAAGGTTTTTAGCTGATTCGGTTCGGTATGGTTGGCGAGGACACACAAGACAGCAAGTTTCTAAGATCCACATGGCATCTTTTCTTGTCTATGAGGTCATCCTCGTCTTCCTCAGGCCATTCCGGTTCTTTGTGTGGGACAATCTGGACCATGCAGATGCAACGTGAGCGATCGTCAAAACTTGCGTATGAGACATACCGTATGGATGGGTCGTGGAAGCTCGATACCCTGTAAAGCGATGGGACACCTTGAAAAGCCAACTTTGCCCTGTCTATATGCTCAATAAAAGCGACGCCCCAAGTCAAAGATGGGTGCCCACGCATGCGAAACGCCTTTGAAGTGGCTGGGTCACTGGAAAAGCAACACCTCCTTGTGATGACGACTTCCAGTTATCGTGTTTTGACAGACGCTCACGTAACACCATGAGAAGCGGGCCAGCCTGGCATTGGTGAGACTTGATACTTCGCACAGGGCAGGGCGTGATTAGAATGCGGAGAGGATTCAGTCCTGAACCCGATGACCTGAGCTTCCAGGTAGCCGCTCTTTCCAGGGTTTCAATGGTTTCAACCGGCTCCACAGTCTCCACGGTTTTGGTGGTATGGTATGGTTTGGCCTGGGCATGGACGTTCTGGTCACCAAATTATGCCCTCAGTTGTTCAATAGTATTATAGCTGGGGTGGATGCTCTGATCATGTGGATTTCATGATTGTGGCATCGAGGTTTTGGTCACCAGACGCAGTCAGGAACTGAGGTTGTTTGATTTGGGCATGGACGCTCTAGAAACCTTATGTTGTGGGCGACGAACGATATAAACCTGGACTATTGCGATTCCGTTTTTTAGAATTGAGACACAGGTCGGCCGTGTGCGTGCTGGTCATTGGATGCGCTCCAAAACTGTCGCAATTGAGATTTGGACATGGATGCACTGTTCGGTGCATGCACCCGAACATGGACATGATTTGGTGTTTCTTCACAATGACACCACTGACATCCTCCAGTTGCAAAACGACGCCAACCTAGGTCCCAAAATTAGATTTTTTATCCCACATGACAGCCAGCCACCCTGTCAGGCTCTGCGATGATCGAGGTAGACTTGACGGGGGAGCTTGCAGACTACGCATACACTTGATCAAGCGGGCAGCCCTAAATAATCTTAAGCAGCAAGCCAACAATAGCGTAACGAGGAATACCCCTACAAACATGGCAAAGCAGCATACTCAGTACTATAATATACTATAATATACTACAATATACTATAATAATACTACTTTAATTGTACTTTAGTATCTATAATAATAGTATAATATATTCTAATACATCATTCACAAGACATATTCATACTGCACGTACCAGGTTGGAGCCCATCAGAGGCCCAACTCTGCCAATGAAAGGGCCTCACCTGAAGGTCCTATGAGTTGCATGCTGTTCTATGTCAGCATGCTTACATCCAATTCGAGTGCAAGATTTTTTGGCCTCGTGTTCTTCTATCTAGTGGGTGGTTGGATTTTTTATGATGCGTTTGTTAGACTGTTTGAGGATTGCACGCCATGTTGACGTATCCGCGCCACGCAAAAAAAAAAAAAAAAAAAAAAAAAAAAAAAAAAAAAAAAAAAAA